CATTCGTCTCTTATTGAATTAAAACAAACAAACGGAGAAGAGCAAAGGAATTTATTGAGGATGTCAAGGAAGATTTATGTTGAATAACGAGCTAATTTTTTTTCACATCAATTCTGTACATTCGTACATACAAAAAAAAAAAGAAAAAAAAAAAAGACGCATGTACATGGTCACACTAAAGACCTGCCCTATGAAAGACCCGACAGACCAACATAAATTTAGTAAATATTTAGCTTTTATTTTTATATATTTAAACATACATACATATACATATATATATATATATATATATATATATATATATATATAATCACAATTTCCGAAGAAAACCGTAATTAATTATCATTTTTCCTTGATTAACTCGATGCATATTTACATGTAGCTGTTATATTAATATATTTTAAGAAATATACATGTACATTATGATGTCCGAAGAAAACAATAATTAATTATTATTTTGTTTTGATTAATTTGATATATTTTTATGTTGTATATTATATATTTTCACTATTAATAACACATGCCAGCGTGAAATGCTATGCTATCTGATAATCAAACCAGAGAAATTTAAACCATTTCTATATGGACTCTTTATCATTTCCCTTTTTCTATCAAGATAAAAGAAATCTATAAAGTTTCACCATTTATTTTTGTCTTATCATAAATATAAATATAAATATTAAACAAGCACAACAGAATACATGTTTAAGAAGCACCACTAAATTAATATTTAACAAGCTTTAAAATATAGTCACTACAAAATAAGCAGTCACAGTTCATAATGAATAGACATGGTTCACCCATGCTCGGCACTACAAAATAAGCAGTCACAGTTCATTATGAATAGACATAATTCATCTAAGCTCGACACTACAACATAGTAACTACAAAATAAGCAAACAGTCATAATGGATGGACATGGTTTACTCAAGCTCGACACAACAATATAGTCACTACAAAATAAGCAAACAGTCACAGTTCATAATGGATAGACATGGTTCACTCAAGCTTGGCACAATATAGTCACTTCAAAATAATTTTTAGTAAACAGTCACAGTTCATAATCTATAGATACGGTTTATTAATACATGGCAAACAGTGGTTCACTCAAGCTCGGTGTTGACAGAGGGGCTGTAATACATAAAGATGGCACGGAGGAAGTGGCTTGTTGACCAGAGATCGGCCATGTACTTCACATGCTTCCTATATCCTCTTCTCCAATGTTTTGTATCTTCTGTTGGTCTCCCTCTCCATGTCTCGAGCTCGTATAGTCACATCCACTATGTCAGCCTCTTGTCGCAGGTGTGGAATCATTTTGTAGAAGGTGATTCCTCCATGCCTGGTCATCGTATTCAACCGGTTATGCAAACCTGGAAAAAATAAGAATTATTATTGAATGGTTTTTAAATTGTATCTAAATTTGCTTTATGCCACTTTATGAGAACAAAGATATTATTTAATTCTTGTTGGATAAAACATTTAACATTTACATAAAAAATGAGTATCATAGTTACCATTAACATCGTTGTTTACACGGATGGTGCGTTGAAACACAGATCAGTCCTGCACCCTGAACACCCGGTGACGGAATCATTGGCGGTCGATGTAGTTGACTAGGTCTTGTAGTTGTGGGGTGTTGGCTCTGTCTCTCAGGTGTGGTAAGGTGTCCATTATGTGCTGGGCAAGCAGAAAGGGCAGCAGAAGTAGTTGGCGGATATACTTGTGGGCTGCTTCTTACTCAATGTATGCTCTCACCAAACCACAAGACTGCACGTGTCTGCAGACCGCCTGTGTCCAATGGAATAAGCACCCCTTGATTGCCACTGCTGGAAAAACACGGCGAATTGCTAGTAAGGCACCTGAATTTGATAATAAATATTATTATAATAATATTAATGTGATACTACAATATGCAATGTAATTATAATATTACAAAATTTCTTTCTTAATGAATTATCAAACATTTTTCTTCATAAAATATTGTATTATCTGAATACCTATTTAAGCATATTTATTAACTATAAAAAACAATCAATATTAAATCCAATAATCAAGTTACTTACCAACTCCGAAATCAACCATGTACAGTAAAACTTGTTGAATCCGGATGTTGTGCATTCCGGCATGTTGTTCAGTCCGGCGTGATATTATAGTCCCTTGAATTTTCTTTATAATTTATGTTTAATAAATGTTGTTCAATCCGGATCTTGCCTATTCTGTAAACCGGCCGCTATTTAAAGAACTAACTGCTCATAATTAGTACAAATTATCTCCTCTAATCCGGCCACTTATTTTTACCTGTGCCCTCTGGTCATTAGAGAAGTCTCCCGTGGGGTAATTATTGTCCCGTTATAATGATCTATCCTGTATCGACAGTTTAGATTTTAACAAACGTGATAAAAAATCATTAATGGCTCAAATAAGGAGAGGAAACTCGCAAAAGAATGAGTGATAGTGATGGTTGCGTGTAGCATGTCTGTAGAAAAATTTGGAGACTTATTCATGACCTCCTTTCTACTTTCTTTTTGCCTGCACGACCTGCAATTCGATTTACTTCCCTTTGTGTCGCTAGTTTACAACGACCATAGCGACAGAAGATTTTGGTTCAGTATTCATTACATGTACATGTATAACATTTGAAATTAACAAATACAGTGTCTAAATATTCAAACACATTATTTTAAAAGAAAGAAATTAATTAGGAATCTGTCCCTAACAAAATAATATTTATAGCTACGTGGTTTTGGAGTGTATTTTTTATTTAACATTTTACGATTTTCAAATTTGATAAATGACCAAGAGATATTATATTTCGATACTGAATAAAAAACTTAAACAGAAATGAAAATTCTGAAGAACAAACAGAGTTCAAAACAAACGGAAATAGACGATTTTTTCAAGTGAAACGTAAAAAATGACACATTTAATCAAGTATTTATTTACCACTCTTTGTTTATATCTATGTAATTTTTTAACTTGCTAGAATGGTTCAATTTTCTCCAATCCGGATGTTGTCTAATCCGGCCAAAAAATTTGGAACCACTGGTCGCCGGTTTAGACAAGTTTTACTGTACTCTTCAACACGGGTTTCCTGTAGACAGTCCATGATGACTAGCACAGCAAAATAATATTCGTCTGTCATTCTTGACATCAAACCGTCACGTAAGCTCAGTTGGTAGAGCGCTCACTTCGTGACCGGAAGGTCGTGTGTTCGAATTACGGCCGAGACTGACCTGAGTCGACAAAAAAATTGGTAGCAACTGCTTCTTCGCCAAGCGCTCGGTACTTTGAAGTGAAAGTTGCGGGTCTTTCGGATGGGATGAGACGTTAAAAACCGAGGCCCGTGTCACGGAAGGCGTTGGCACGAGAAAGAATCCTCGCTGCTCAATGGCCCTGAGTGCCGAGTAAAGCATAGGGGCTTGTCTAAATGTAAAACTGTTAAATGTAAAATAAATTACAAATCTAATAAAATTTTGAATCTACTTTAAATACACTTAAACGTTGTTAAAATAAAGATTCTGACACTTTCTGTCAAGAAAAAACACGTTTAAGAAAGACGTACCACATCTATATACAAAAACTCTATAGCTACAAGGGACGAAAGCTCTCTTTTTGGAAAAAAAAAAATACCCCCATCCACTTCAGCGCCTAGCTATTTCTGAGCTCCATTAATTCATCACTGTAGGGGACAGAACCATGACAGCGACATAAATTAATGCTTTAGAGTCCAGAAATAGGGGCTGAAGTGGGTGGGGGTATTTTTTCCAAGAAGAAAGTTTTCGTCCCTTGTAGATTTTATGTATATAAGTGTGGTTCGTCTTTTTTAAGCGTGTTTTTTCTTGACTGAAAGTGCCAGAATCTTTACTTTAACAACGTTTAAGTGTATTTAAAGTAGATTCAAAATTTTTTTACATTTGCAACTTATTTTACATTTAACAATCCGGAAGACAAGTCCCTTTGCATCGGGCTAGAAGTACTCAACAGTTCCTTCACAGAATTAATATCACTACCCTGAGTTGGCCAGCACAGAGCCCTGATCTTAATATTATTGAAAACCTGTGGCTGTTATTTAAAAGGAAACTTCAGATGCGAGTGGGGAGGATAGGGAGTAGGGACTGCTTCTACCGCGAGGTTCAGGACATCTGAACTAGGAGCACAAAAGACTATGTCAGAAGCCTCTACCGGTTGATTCCTCGCAGATTACTCAGTGTTATAAGATTGAAAGGACATTTAACGATGTGTTAGGTAAGTTTAAATTGTTTTATTTATTTTGGAAACGAAATACATACGTTTTTTATAGTGACCTACTTTCGTTGGGAATGTAAGCATGCCGCCATTTTGTACGAATATTTATTGCATCATATAACGAGATCTATCTATCAATCTATCTGTCTGTCTGTGTTTATTTGTATTGAGAGAAAATTGAAATTCGACACGTTTATGTTTTCAAGTGAAGTAGAAATGTTCTTTTACCACTCGCCTAGGTTAAAGAACCTTTTTCTTACGAAAGTAGAGAAAGACATCTACGTTGTCTATAAAAACATGCACTAAAAAATAGAGTAATACAACAGCAGGTGTCTAGTTTTCCTCCCCATGTGAATTTTCTACAGATCAAGTATTAAGTTGCTGGCCACATACTTTAGCCCCCCCCCTTTCAAGAGATTAAATAAACGGTTCTAATAACTTAAGAAGGCTTATAAAGCGTGTATTGCAATAAACCTATTTGTGCGTATGTAAAGATCGCGTTAGCAATGTCATGTTCCATCACATTATTTAATTTTATTAGCAGAAGGAGGGAGTTTTCTCCATCATGACACTTAATGTAAAGCAATCAGAGCTGTGCTGTAGACTCCTCCTACCTGTCTGACACATACGTCATTAACAAGGCTGCAATATTTCCAAGACAATTAAACTAATCAACGCAACTGTGTAGTAAAACATACAACGTATATAAGTAACATTTAAGTTCCATTGAATGACATTTGCTAAACCACATGATAATGGACGAGACTGTAAAACAAGTAAAGAAGTCTGTGCGTGTGAGTCGTTTTCGTCCTCAGACCCAGTCCTTCTCTGACTTTGGCAGATTTGACAGAACACTATACCAGACCGACCGGAAGAGGTCATATACTTTCACAGATTCCTCCTCTTCTCTCGAAAAACCTGTTTTGGAGAGGGTCCGAAACTTTAGCAAAACAAAGCGAGGAATCAAGAACCACGGTGATTTCCTTAGAATCTCGTCTACAACTTTTTGCAGCAACACTGATATCGAATGCCAAGGAAGTCAGATATCTGTATTTCCTTCATCGTCTTTTTCTAGTGACGATTTCATTCCACAGAAAGACAACAAAGGATATAAAGTAATAATTTTTGGAATTCCTGGGGTTGGAAAATCATTCCTTCTGCAACAGATGAGAACTTCCGAGTTCCTTGGAACATGCCCAGAAGGTAAGTCTTGAATGGTATGTGTGTTCGATCATATTCAGAGGATTACCTCTAGAAATACGATTAATTTTTACATTGTTTAATTTGTTTCTGTTTTACAGGTCCAGATCCATTCTATCAATCTGTACCAGTGGTTTTGGGGAAGAGAGAATCAGTTCTCAATTTCGTAGAGGCTGACATGTACATTCAGGTAGGAGTCAAACGTAACCTACTTTTTAAAATTAAATTACAAAAAAAATTACCAATTCAATTCTCTATCTACGTATGAATTTCTTTCATATATAATTTCTTTATTTTCAGAATCATGGCAACACCAATGAATATGATGGTTTTGTAATGATGTATTCCGTAACCGATAAAAGATCGTTCAATTTTATCGCCAATAAACTTAAAAAGATAAAAGAAGAAGTGGGAGATTCGAAACCTGTTTACGTTGTTGCAAACAAAGTAGATCTCATAAGATTTAGAGAAGTTTCCAGTAAAGGTACGCTTATTGAATACACTGTAGTATACAATATTTGAAATGATCCTCTCAATTCCATGGCCAGGTAGAATAATTACTGTTCAAAACTATGAAAAGGTTAAGTACAGTCAAAATTTGACATATATTCGAGAAAATTACATTAACTGTTTATTTTTTTCCCTCACAGATGGTTTATCATTAGCACAAGAGAACAACTGTAGCTTTGTGGAGGTGTCTGTTTCTCTACAGTGGAACATCGACAAAGTTCTCGTAGACGTCACGGAACAACTTCAAGGTGGCAAAAAGAAAAACAATGGACGAAAAATTTCTAAATTTGATTGCAGAAGTAACCCCAAAACTCCAGAAGCCCCCTCTATACAACCTATGTCAGAAGGAAAATCGCACAAAAAAAGATCTATCTTGTCAAGATTGCGAAAATTCTTTAAAAGAAAGCACTTAAAGTTTTGAATTTAAAGCGTAAATAAATCAGCAATTGTTGAAACATTCTTTTACCGCTCATTAGAATGGTTTTATGTAGAAACATGCACTGTTTTAGTTTTTTTTATGCGGTGTACTTGATTTTTTTTTTATTACGAGTTGGTTTCTCTTTTTGTTTTGCAGATATATCCAAATCGACAATTGTATAGTATTGAATCATATTTACTTTGTACATTTATGAGACGAGAATAAAACTTTGAATGTTAAATTTCTGTGTGTTTTGATTTTATATCCTGAGCAATATTTTCCATTAATGACTTTTTAATATTATCCAAGATATTCAAACAAGTATGTGTACATGAATAGTAACTCTTAAAGCTATGGTTAAAATAACAACTACAATTTAACCACACCAATTTTTCAGCTGCAAAGAAACCCTATAATGTTGCATTAACGAACTGTTAAAATTTAATTTCTTGTAAGACTGCATTCCTATGCCTTTAATTGACCTTGATCCATCTTGTATATATTTTGTTCAGTAATGAGATGATCAATTGGTTGATTGATTGATTAATTGTATGTTGATTATTCGAAAATTTTCACTAAAATAGGGACGTCAACTTATATCGATTATGGGCTTTAAATTAAGACCTTTACTAGGTACTCGGTTCTATTGAGCGGTGAGGGATTCTTATCGTCCCTAACGCCTACAGTTACCCGGGGTCTCGATTTTTCAAGTCTCAGCTGAAAGATCCTCAACTTTCACTCAAAAGTGCTGAGCGCTTGGAGAAGGAACAGTTGCTACCTATTTTTATCGACTTAAGTCACCGGTCACAGTAGCCTAGTGGTAGGCTGTTCACTTCGTGATAGGGAGGCCCTGGTTCGAATCTCGTTCGCTGCACCACGTCAAACCTTAGACGTAAACATAAGCAGTGACTTTTCCTAATTAGCTAAGCGCCCGGTAAAAGAGGTTTCGGATGAGATCTTAAAAATCAGGTCCATCTGTCACAGTAGGCGTTGGCACTGTAAAGATCCCTCACTGCTCAATGGCCCGAGTGCCGAGTATAGGTCTAAATTTGATGCCCTTCACTGGCATACGATAGCGTCTCTATATTAGTGAAATATTCTCGACCGGTCACGGTGGCCTAGTGGTGAGAGAGATCCTTTTTGTGCCGGGACCTACTGCGACACGGGGCAATGATCCGAGGTTAAGAGTGTTGGTCAACAAAACAAAAAAATTGCGTACACTGACTTGAGAAAAATCTTTTTCCCGAAAATTTGGACAAACAAGATATTTTAAAAACATATCATTTTTAATTAAAAGCAGTTACAAATCCGATGGTATTCCCAGAAATTAATTTGCTGATTAGTAAAATTTAAAAAAAAAGACAAAATGAATAAATCATGTTTAGACAGTTCTCTTATCATTATATTACCACACACCGTTTACAAAATTGTCTTGCTCAGGTTTAAGACTTTCACACTGTAACACAAAAGAATAATCAGATGGTCCTTGTGTTATTTTAGTTCTTTTATTCTTAAATTGATTGTTCAATTGAAAGTGGTCCTAAAATAAACAATATACAATTGAAAGTGATAGTCATACATAAACTCTTTGACATTTCATTAAAAAAAAATATTTATGACCTCTAGCTATTACACTTTATCATACAACATAACATCTAAGTAAGAAATAATATGAAGTATAAATAATATAATAAAAATGTACACAGTTCACAAACCTAAGTAAGGAATGCAGTGTCATGGCTTCCGGTCACTGTTACGTCATCATACAAGAGGACTGTTCAATATAAATACATCAAGTCTTACTTCTCAATTTATAAAAACTATACATACTTGATAAGTAGCACAGTTTGATTATCTGTCAGTGTTATAGGATGAGTAACAGTTGTCGTAAAACCCAAATCTTCATCACTTCTCGCAAACACATCTTTATGCTTAGAGAGTAGTTCAAGCAATTTCTGTTCTTGTTTGGACGTAAATGGAACATTTCCAAGATCCAGTTTAGACGTTAGTTTGGAATTATCAGAATTTAAAGTTTTGGTTGACACCGAGGCACTACGAATGTTCAATTCTGTTGGTTCAATATCAACTGTATATTCTTGGTCTGATCTCTTCAAAATTTCGATCTGATGTAGAGTTCCAATACGAGTCTTTGGTTGAATCCAAACATCTTCACCAATGTTTAACATTCTTTCTGGAATTCTTCCACTTTCCACAAGACTAACAGTATCCACCACCATTATCTTTCGAGGTAGAGATCCATTCTCACTAGAAATAGGTTGGACGGCTGCTACGTATGGGTGTCTTTTCTTATTTTGTCGTGTTGATCCACTGTGGTTTTCATAGAGTTTGCTGGAATTCTTATTGCTTCTCTTCCTGCCACTTTGACAAGCCCAATCTTCACATCTACTTCATTCTCAGCTAACGCCATAACAGACATAACATTGTTCCATATAGGGTCTTTCATAATAACATTATCACCCTGACAGGCTGTTCTAATATGTTTCAGCACATTACATCCAAGAATCACTTGTACAGCATTTGGATCTGTTGTTACAGTTTCAACTAACATTCCTACGTCACTGAATAATTGGTCCTCAATCTTCAAGTCTACTTCAATGTATCCTAGATATAGTATTTGGATTTTGTTAGCAGCTGACAGTCGTAGAAATTTTCTCGTGTCTGTAATATCTTTTTGATGTAGGAATTGTTTATAAAACATTTCAGGGACTTTATTTTCTTTCCGATTTTACATATACAACAGGTATTCTTTAGTATTCTTCTTTAGTCTCCAATATTTTAATTTTGTCTAATAGTCATTGGATGAGCTGTTCCATGGTGACGATAATACAACTGCACACTGTCGTAAATCACAAGAATCCTGTCCACGACGCCATTTGTAACACAAAAGAATAATTAGATGGTCCTCGTGTTATTTTAGTTCTTTTATTCTTAAGTTGATTGTACAATTAACATTGGTCCTCAAATAAACAATATACAATATAAAGTGATAGTCATACATAAACTCTTTGACATTTCATAAAGAAAAATATTTATGACCTTTAGCTATTACACTTTATCATACAACATAACATCTAAGTAAGAAATAATATGAAGTATAAATAATGTAATAATAATGTACACAGTTCACAAACCTAAATAAGGAATGCAGTGGCAAGGCTTCCGGTCGTTGTGACGTCACCATACAAGATTGATTGATTGTTTAACGTCCCTCTCGAGAATGTTTCACTCATATGGAGACGCCACCACTTGCCGGTGGAGAGCTGCAAATTTTGTCCTATACTCGGCACTTACGGCCATTGAGCAGTGAGGGATCTTTATCGTGCCAGCACCTACTGTGACACGCGACCTCGGTTTATACGGTCTCATCCAAAGGACCGGTCTCCACGTCCCACAGTGGGATTCGAACCCGCGACGTAAGGATCAACTCCTTACTTCGCGACTCTAGAGCAGACGCTCTAACCACTGCGCCACGCGGGCGACTCATCATACAAGAGGACTGTTAATATAAATACATCGGGTCTTACTTCTCAATTTATAAAAACTATACATTCTTGATAAGGAACCACTATTGTAATAAAAAACGTTTTGCATCAAGCAATCTTTTAAAGTCATTTATAACATCAGGGCATCTATTATTTTAACCTATAAACATACTTATATACAAATGACTAGATTTCAACATCACATCAATTCTCTGACTAGTAATAACCAATTTTCAATCGGTAAATTACAGAACTTTATATTTCACAAAACATAGTTATAAATAGAATAATCATTCACTTGTAACATAAGTACCTAATCTAATATGAATGTAAGACAAAAATATCATTACTCACATCTATCAGACAAAAGGCGCTAGTACAACATGTCTTCCCTTGTCAACATCTACGGTGAAAATGCCGCCAAAAGATGGCCTACTGCCTATAACGTAAATTGACCAATCAATGGACAGATTCACAAGTGTAAAAAATTAATTATAAAAATTACTTACAACCAAATACTGATATTATTACAGTTATTCAAAAAGGATATAAACATAAAAATACTTTTTCATTTCCAAATTTGTAACTTTTATAAAAATGTAAATGTGAATCTCGAACCCGATGTTAAATATACTTTGCCCTCTTACAACACCAATGTTCATTTTCCTTACAACTGTACAATTTTGATGCATAGAAATGCAGGATTCGATTCCAGTATCCGTATATCTTTCAGAAATCAATTCAAATCTATACGTTTTTGGCTGTGTTGACACTTGTTAAAGGAGAGTTCTTTTAGTCTTTTGTTTTTATTTTTGACATATACAGGTAGATTCTTTTGACATAAAGAGATTCTCTGAATTATTATTATTTGATTAAATTGGATCCGATTGGGCTTCAATAAATGAATGGTTTAATGACACTAAACAGAAACTTAAATAGGGTTAAATGAGATGTAATCGGGTGTAAAATATTTTGAAATTTTATTATTTTTTTTAAATCAACACACATTTTGTGTGATGAAATACACTAAAAAGCCAAACATGCATAATTATGGTTATCTGGCTTTTGCTAAGTAGATAAATCAAAAATGATGAGAAAATATTGTCATTTTCAAAACGGCAACATTTATTAAGGACTTCATTCAATATTTCAAGATAAGAGCCAAGTGGTAATGTGCAAATACAAGCCAGGGGTTTATTTCTACTCCTTTGGCTGATTATGCCACAAAACCGATTTTATTTGTTCCACTCAAGACCCCTGCAGTCGCCCGCGTGGCGCAGTGGTTAGAGCGTCTGCTCTAGACTCGCGAAGTAAGGAAATGATCCTTACGTCGCGGATTCGAATCCCACTGTCGGACGTGGAGACCGATCCTTCGGATATGACCGTATAAACCGAGGTCCCGTGTCGCAGTAGGTGTTGGCACGAAAAAGATCCCTCACTGCTCAATGGCCGTAAGTGCCGAGCATAGGAAAAAATTTGCAGCTCTCCCCCGGCAAGTGGTGGCGTCTCCATACGAGTGAAAAATTCTCTCTCGAGACGTTAAACAACATACAAACAAACAATCAAACAAGACCCTTGGAACCAATTAAAAGACAGCTGTCATATCGCAATAACGTCATAGAAAATAGACAAACATTCATATATATATATAACGATTTGTACTCAGTGTTGATGAACCCACATATACACTGTACATGTCCTCGTTTTACCTGTATTTTCTTTTCAATTCTGTGTTTAC